AGGGGGGGTGGGGGGGGGGGCGGGGGAAACGCGACTGCTGCCGGCTCCGTGGAGTCCCCATTCCCTGCCTCCCGCACTTTCCAGCTCAGCTCCTTCTGGTGATGCTTGCGGGGGACGGGACAGGAGCTCTCGGCAGGGGCTACGGCCCTAAGGAATGAGCCTCGGCGGTCTCTCCTCACGCCAGCCTTTGGTCCAAACCAGACAAGTCTGATTTCTTCAAGTCCTGAAGGATGCGAGTAACTTAAGCGGTCTGTGTCGCGGTACCCACCTGGGCACGGCTACCTGCCTGGAGGAACCAACCTGTCGTACGTCATTGTTGCTTTACGCCGTTTGCAAGACTGTTCTGCAGCCTCCCTCCCTGCAAAGAGTCTCATAAAGGGCACCTTCCATTTCTGTCGCGAGCTGATAACCTCTTACTCGTATAAAAATGATGGTCTGAAGGAGGGAGGGCTCTGTAGAATAAGTGGCCACGCCGTGACGTTTAATGCGATGGCTGTTGGTGCAGGGGTACTTAATTGGGGGGTACTTCTTGCTGTTGTGTGTAGGTGACACATCTGACTGGGTTCTCTCTTTTCGCAGGGTAAGAGTGAGCCCTGTGGAGACGCGCTAGAGGGACCCCCCCCCCCCACCCCCCCCATTTCGCATCCTGCTAAGTGGACTATGGTGGCAGGAAGATGTTGGCTCGGAAGAGTATTATCCCTGAAGAGTACGTGTTGGCACGGATCGCTGCCGAGAACCTGCGCAAGCCGCGGATCCGAGACCGGCCACGCAAAGCCCGCTTCATCGCCAAGAACGGGGCATGCAACCTGGCCCACAAGAACATCCGCGAGCAGGGGCGATTCCTGCAAGACATTTTCACCACCTTGGTGGACCTGAAGTGGCGTCACACGCTGGTCATCTTCACTATGTCCTTCCTGTGCAGCTGGCTGCTCTTCGCCATGATGTGGTGGCTGGTGGCTTTTGCCCACGGCGACATGGACCCGAGCACAGAAAGCGCCACGAACAGCACAAAGTGGACACCCTGCGTGACGTGCGTCAGGTAAAGTAGAGTTGGTGGGACGATGGAAGGGGGGGGGGGGAAGGAGGTGCCTGCTGCTGTGCAGCTGGCTGCTCTTCGCCATGATGTGGTGGCTGGTGGCTTTTGCCCACGGCGACATGGACCCGAGCACAGAAAGCGCCACGAACAGCACAAAGTGGACACCCTGCGTGACGTGCGTCAGGTAAAGTAGAGTTGGTGGGACGATGGAAGGGGGGGGGGGAAAGGAGGTGCCTGCTGTCCTGCCGATGCCTAAAATGCAGTTTTTTTTGGTTTACATGGACTGTTGTGCTTGGCTGAGACAATTGAAAAGTGCAGTGTTTTCCTCTAGATGACGTGAATTCAGCAAGCCGCCCCGGGCTTGGAAAATACTGTACTGTAGATTTCTTTGATTCCTTACAGGATCTGAGAGAGGGAGACCTGCTGCTTTTCATGTGTCTCCACAACTCTGTGGGTAACATACCTTGCCAGTCGACTACAAGAGTGGGTATGTGTTACGTGTATTGTAACGTTGTCTACGGCAGCGGGAGCATCCCCAGCGTGGTGCCAGCCCCCCGCCACGCCGGCCAAGGGTGGCCACCCCCCCAAAAAGCGGTGCCTGAGAGGCGGGGGCGCTGGCCACGCGTTGTCAGGCAGGGGCTAACAAGACAAGTGCCACTTAGGGCAAAGCTTGATGTCTTTCTAAGTGACTCTCATCGGACAGCTAGACCTGCGGGGCTTCAGAACACCTCGATGAAGCCACAGGCCAGCAGTTTGGCAGTTCCTGTGGCACGCAGGACGCGTCAGACAGTGAAAACTTACAGGACTAAGAGGTTGAATGCAACCCATTGAAGTGTTTCTCTCTCCATCCCCAGAGCCACAACAGTTTTTCCAGGCACTGATAAACTGAGACACACGCACACGGAATTAGAGGAGGGTTTGTTTAACTGGAGGTGGGGGACGGCGATAAGAATGCTTTGTCATCACATCAGTAAAATCTCTTTTTTATAGCACGAGGTTTTTAAGCAGAAACCCCCTGATTCTGTACAGCCAGGCTGCCCCACAGCAGCTGCGAGGGGCTGGGGGCGGGAGGGGAGGCTGTAGGGTCTGCTGAGACATCAGAGCATCCGCTTCCCCCTTCTCCTTTCTTCCTGCACGTAGGTTTGAGGCACCTCCCCGAGGCTGAAGGGATATTGTACCTGGCTCGTGAAGGAGCAGAGATTTCATTCTCCCTTTGCTTTGATGCTTTTTTGCTAAATGGGGATTTTCCAAGCTAAAGGAATGGATTTTCCTTAGGTTGGGGAGTTGGGGCAGGAGAGAAAGGGGTTGCCATCTTATTTCTTTTTGAATAACCTGGCCACAGGCAGTAGCCTCTGAAATGAGACATCATGACCCAGCTTGCACCCACTGGGGTGTCACCCCCGGCGTGCCTGGATTAGCAAGTAGCTGCACCCCGTCTGTTCTTAAGGGTCAGCTGGGGGGACGTTCATCTGCTCGACTGGTGGTCCCCTCAGCTCAGCCCACCCCACCCCGTGGGGCTCATGGGGTGTGTGGGATTTGTCCGACCTGGATTAGCAAGTAGCTACACCCCGTCTGTTCTTAAGGGTCAGCTGGGGGGACGTTCATCTGCTCGACTGGTGGTCCCCTCAGCTCAGCCCACCCCACCCCGTGGGGCTCCTGGGCCACCCTGTAGAGCCTGAACCAGCTGCCGAGGGCTTCATGTCGCTGGGATGAGGCAGCCCCATGGTGGTGGCTCTTTCAGGAAAGCCATTCACCTCTGCTGCAAGGACAGCCTGGAGGGGTGTGAAAAAGCAGAGCAAATAAATAGGTGTAATTTTCTGGTTTAGGCCCATGACAAAGAACACACATGTCTCTCTCCTGCAAGGGTGAATCCCCTCCCTGGGGTGATTCAGCCAACAGCTGCTCAAGTGTCCATGTCCAAGCCATGGAACATCTTTTCCCTTCATAGTGAAGGGCTTCATCCTGTTAAATCTGGCTGCGACTTGGGGCAAAGTCATGAAATAGCAATATGATTGCTGACATTTTAAAGAATGGTGAGCTTTTAGATGTAAAATATATTTAATATTGCAATGGTATGTATGCCAAAATAATGGCAAATATTTTTTAACCTACTTCCTTGGGATTTAGGCTCACACATATTTCACGAGAGCTTTCCTGGGTAGGTGCTATTACAGATTTATGGGGCACCTGGTTTTGGAAACTTTAACCAGTGCCTAGAACTTGCACGGCACTTTAATTTTTCAAAGTACTGCAGAAATTTCTAAGTGTCACGGTTCTTTGCCTGGAAAGCAAATATTAACCAAAGAGGAAAACTGTTAGCTCTAATGGAACTGGGAATAGTGTGATTTTTGAGTTTCTGGTTCCCTCTTCACATGGTCAAAATGCAGTACAAACTTGCTGCTTCAGTTACTTCCACTGTGAAAGGATGGATTCTCCTTTTTTTATTTTTTAAGAAGGAGTATACTGTTAAGGAATTCAGAATATTTACTCCACAGAGCTTCAAGTTGAATTAAGCTGAATTAAGTTTAAACCAGAAGCTTAATTCTGTGTGTAACTAAATATTCATGAACATAAGAAATCATTCCATGGATTCTATTAATTAACTCCCTGATTTCTTCAGAGTGAAATGCGAAAACAAACCTCTCAATACAAGGGAACCTGCCAAAGATTAAAAGAATACAAAAGGCCAAAAAAAGACAAACTTTTTTTCAAATGTATCTCTGCAGAGACTCCTGTTTTTTCTGAAAGATGAACTTTCTCATTCTACAGAAAACTATCCCTGATACCGCCTATACTTCTTTAATGTCCCCTCATGACCCCAGGTTCACTGGAAATGGTGTTAGGAAAAAAAAAAAAAAAGAAAAATTATTTAAAAACAAATTAATTGAAAAGAAAACCAAACCCACTGAATGGTTTAGAACCACCTTCATGGGCATTGCTGAGCATGGCAATGCTTCAAAGGTTGGTGGATTGCACTGTGTTAAAAGGGTGACTATGGTATTAGTTCATATGAAACCCAATGTGCTGCAAGTCTACCAGATAAATCCCAAGGTACTGTTTTTAGACATAAGAGACTGATGAAGGGTGTATCTGGTTATAAAAGACCCTGGTATATACAGGGGATATGATATTGTAGACTACTATAAGTGATGTATTCTGGAAAGTTTGTGGACAGCATCCTCTGATGCGCAGCACTATCGTATATTAGGGTAGGGATGTTTAACTTTACTCACACTTCTATGGCCTGCTTCTGTGTTGAAATTTTCCACCTTGTCTTGCCATGGCAGTGAGATAAACCCAAACCCTGGGTCACAGTGTTGTCCTCCTGCCAAAACATACAGAGTGGACTGTGAAGGCCACTGGCCTCTCTTGGCAGCGTGATCTTGTGGCCTCAGTCGCAAGTCGAACAAGAGTTTGGGAAGTGTCATGTATTTGGGAGTGTTCCCTTTCCCTCCAGGAAATCCTCCTAAAGGAGTTCATGACTCAGGTAGTATGAGTGAAAAGCTGCCTTTTCCCCCATTTCCTTTCCCTGCACAGGCTGGTGGAACAATCTTGGTGTGCCAGCCAATTGCTCACTATTGCCAAAACCAACTGCTGGCCACCAAGAGCTTCATGGGATGGAGAAGGTGGAAAGCGCAGGTGTTACAGCACTGGCAGCTAACACAGTGGGTAGCACATGCTGCTGAACAGAGAATCTAGTGAGCTTCTCAAGGTCACCTAGTGTTACAGTTGGTCTTTTGGGAGCTCAGACTCTGAGATCTTCCCTGTCACCGTCAGATACCACATTGATCGTACAATAACAGTCACCAAGCATGCAATGCTTTTGCTGCTGATGTTGACAGAAGGCTTAAGTGTACCAGGACTTAGGTTTGTTTCTAGAAAGTGTTTGTTAATAGTTTTTCTCAATTTGCATTCAATATTCTTGGAGTTAACTTTGTACAATCTTCTTCTCCAGGTCTTTCACCTCCGCTTTCCTCTTCTCCATTGAAGTTCAGGTGACCATTGGTTTTGGGGGCAGGATGATGACAGAGGAATGTCCCTTGGCCATCACAGTCTTGATCCTGCAGAACATTGTGGGTCTGATCATCAATGCTGTCATGCTAGGCTGCATATTCATGAAAACTGCACAAGCTCACAGGCGGGCTGAGACCTTGATTTTCAGCCGGCAGGCGGTCATTGCAGTTCGAAATGGCAAACTCTGCTTCATGTTTCGAGTGGGAGACCTGAGGAAAAGCATGATCATTAGTGCCTCAGTGAGGATCCAGGTTGTGAGGAAGACTACCACCCCTGAAGGAGAAGTCATACCCATTCACCAAGTTGATATCCCTGTGGATAACCCCATTGAAAGCAACAATATTTTCCTTGTGGCTCCTTTAATCATTTGCCATGTCATAGACAAGAGGAGTCCTCTTTACGATATCTCTGCTGCTGACCTGGCGCTCCAGGACCTGGAGCTCATCGTGATACTTGAAGGAGTCGTAGAAACGACTGGCATCACGACCCAGGCGAGAACCTCCTACATAGCAGAGGAGATCCTGTGGGGTCACCGCTTTGTGCCCATTGTCACTGAAGAGGAAGGCGTGTACGCAGTTGACTACTCCAAGTTTGGCAACACCGTCAAAGTGGCGGCCCCGCGCTGCAGCGCTCGAGAGCTTGACGAGAAGCCATCCATTCTCATCCAGACCCTGCAGAAGAGCGAGCTGTCCCACCAAAACTCCCTCCGGAAACGCAACTCCATGAGGAGAAACAACTCCATTCGGAGGAGCAACTCCATGAGGAGAACCAATCCCTCCCTTATCGTGCCCAAAGTGCAGTTTATCACGCCTGAGGGGAGCCAGAGCACCTCAGAAACGTGATGCGCAGCTCCGGGTGAGGCCAGTGGGCTTCGGCAGGAGGTGGCACCCATGGTGTTTAAATGGTCTTTTACTTAAGAAAAAGAGAACACGAAGCAGAAAAGAACCATGCAAGAAGTATTTATTCTATTACTTACTGAAAGCACCACCTAATGGCGTTAGGAAACACTTTAGCACTTAGTTTATGAATTAATAGAAAAAATGGCACGTACGCTAAAGAAAACACAGTTCACTCATGTAATATAATGTGTATTTATACTTGTTTTAATGGCATGCTAATGTTTTAATCATGTTTTTTCTTATCAAGGATCTCTTATCTTTTTCTGCCGGCTGTCACAAAACGTGTTTTTATCTATATAAGTGGGTCACCCACCTGCAGGCAGAAGCGAGTGCTTTTTCAAAACTGATTTCCAACTCCCACAGATTTTGTGTGGGATATTTGGATATTGATCTTTTTTTTTTGATTAATTCCTTGTACTCTTGAAAGGAGTAGCTAAATTCCTCAGTGATCTCCCTGGAGAAGAGCCAGGATTTTACCTTGCGTTTTCCAGATCTTTTCTTTCCATTGCTTCATGGAAAAGGCATTTTGAGAGCAAATTCAGGTCAGCTGAAGTGACCTTGACCGTCCCACAGGAACACTGGTCCCACTCTGGGCAGCACCGGCAGAAGAACCAGCAAAACAGCACGACCTCTTGCAGAGCACTGCTCTTCTTCTCAGGGTGAGATACTCCACTGCAAGACAGCACGCATCTGTAACACAGCTGTAGCCCAAGCTGAGGAACTCAAGTCTTCCCAGCTGCCACCTGAGCGAAATTCCATTTCACTGAAATTATTCAAGCTGAAAAAAGCACACGCCTCTCTAACATCCTCTTCCTACCGGTGGAAGACCAAATCTAGGTTTGTTTTCCTTATAGAGTCATACACTGAAGACAACAAGTGTACTTCCTTCACTCACAGTATTTTTTTGTAGCATTAAGTCTGTCTGCTTCAGCAGAATGTTACTTTTTGCCAGTGGGGATTCACAAGTGGGAATGAGAGGGAACCATGCCAGTAATATTAAAGAGAGTATTTTCAAATTTTCAGGAGGACTTGGGCACTGATGCTAAATTACTATTTTTCAGCAGTCTCACCTGTGGTTTTATACGACATGGCATTGAGAATTGGTGGCAGGCAGCTTTTCTCTTCAAATTTAAACAAGTGTTTAGTGTCTAGATCCTTCTCAAAAATGTCATCACAAGTTTTTCTACAAGAATAAATAAATGTATGACAACTAATTATATCACATTTGGTAAGGCTAAATTGATGCATGCTTTTTTCCTCCACGAATAAGAAGTATAATGATGGACAAATTCCTGTTCAAATTTCTTACAGACGTTGCCTTATGTCTGTGGCTCAAGAGAAGCATTAGCCCCGTGCTGACTCTCTGAGCCACTCAACCACTTAAATACTTCTATAATTTTAAATATTTGCTTATTCCTATCAGGTGAAATAGTCAAAAGCAATGGGGGGGGTTCTCTTTCTCTTTGGAAGTCAGTTCTTCAAAACTTGTATGAACGGTTTGTGGGCTTCGTGCGGTGTTGGGTGGGCACGGAGGGGCATTGCTCTGTAGTGTAGGCTCCTTGCATTTAGAGCAGGTGCCCTCCAGAAAATAAACACTGACAAAATAGTTCATCTGAAGCAGTAGTGGAAACTGAAGTTTCTGTTAAAAGCATTCTATTCCCTGGCCTGTCCATTAATGCTCTGGAAGAATGGATGGTGAACATCTGGAGACATTAATCTGTCCATTGTGTGTACAAACAATGAACATCTGTAGCTTCCAAGAAGAGTCAGAGTGAAGCATATGCGATTTGTCTCTGGCCTCTGTTTCCAGGACTGTGAATTTCTTTGAGGCTGTCTGTTTAATAAATGGTTAAGTCAGATGCTGTACAAAAGCAAATTTTCTACAAAATAAAAAAGTGACAATACTGATTCCTTCCGTCTCTAATTTTTCTCTATCTCTTTTCCTTTTTCCCTTGTGTTCTCCATTCATTCTTCTATACTCTTAGTTCTTGTATCCTACTCTTTTCTATGGTCCTTTTGAGTAATAATTTGATATTATCTCGATTCCCTCTCAGTATTTCAGCTGAGATATTTTTTTTTTTTTTACCTGCAATTATTTTCTCGTTTTCTCCATAAGTACATTCTTCCTTCCAGTTTTTATTTTGCCTTCATGTCTCTCCCTGCTTTACACCTACAGCACTCTCTTTTCCATAAGGCTATTATAGGGATATTAGTGTTTTGAGGTAACACTAAGGCACCTCAGTCGTATGCAGGGATGCTGAACAGATGCACAAGTCTGAATCATGACAAGGCATGTCATGAAATTCATGTTCATATGTGCTGTGCTGCTGCTCCTTGCAGAAAATCCCTTAGTGCAAAGGCCCTTTCTTGAGCAAGTTTTGCAGCCCTGGGAGAGGTTGGTGGCAGTCGGGGTGAACTGCCCAGCTGGTCACGAAGGGTGGTGGTGGAGGTTTTGGGGCTGGGAGCTGCGTTCCTCACTGAATGACAGTGGTTTCAGACCCAGCTTTGCAGCATCTCAGTGCCTGCTGAGAGGGGATGAGCCAGCAGCACCATGGTTCAATATGTTTAATGAATTATTCTCCCTAGCAACTTTATCAGATGAAAGGGGCTTTATTTTAAATTTGAAGTTTTCTGTTTTGAAGTACACTGCCAAGTTGAGAATGACAGCTGAGCTTTCTGCCAAATACTACTGGCAGTTCATACTGGCATTTAACTCTCTCTCTCTCTCATTGGTAATAATTTAGAAAATCAGAAGCAATAATGTATAAGCATCGTCTGACCATCGTTCCTTCACACTTACTTGTGTCCCTACCATTCCCATCCCCTGATAACATGTAATGGAACTGCATTATTTGACATCGCTTACTCTGCTTTGACTCTTTGAATAGCCTTCTGTACGGAGCCTTCTGTAGGGAGCAAAACTATTTAGTAAGAGCAGAAAAATTATTATAAAGTCCTTCCAGGGCAGATGTAATATCTGGGACTGCACTTTATCTTTTCTTTTTAGCCTTATCTTAAGGAACTTCTCTATCATAAAGAGAAAAATGGCAGCGAGACCCTGTGTCCTCTCTGCGGACACTCAGGAAATTCAGTTTTACCGTGGTGAGGGCTCTTCCTTTCCTTTCACCCAGCGAGATGCCACCAAACCCCGCAGTGAATCCAGCCACCTGAGAGCCCCAACATGGCTAAGTCTTGCCGAGATGGTCATAGACCACTGCCCAGAGCCCAAAAAGTCTGGCTTCAGGGGGGAGCCTTTAACACCCATGGCACAGAGTGCCACGCTGCCAAACCAGACAGGGTTTGATGTGAAGTTTGGGGCTGCCCGCTGGAGGGGGTAACCTGGCTGAATGGGACTCCCAGGGAGTCTGCACCACAGGCAAGTCAAGGGGGTTGCCCTTCAAGCCAAGGTTGGAGCAGGGATACTGAAGATACAAGCAGTATAGGCACCTAAGCCATCAAAGCTGATGAAAATGGGATTGTGATTTCAATAACTGGTAAGTGGGTGCATTTCAGGTGCCATGGAGCACCCTGTCTGGCCCCCAAAGCTGCTTGGATGGCCACTGGTTTCCTGTCAGGACCATGACACTCCTGCCCACTCAAAGCACCCCTCCTGAGCACCCTCAAGTGTACCTATCTGCATCCTGCTCTGTGCACCAAACCCCCCCAAAGCCTTCTGCAAGCCATGCTTTTAACCTCTCTGTAACATTTGGCATCACTGTGGCCTTGTAAAACTATCCCCCCCCTCCTGAGTTATTGCTTCATGGGCATGTGTTGCATCACAGCAGTTTGCCCTTTTGAATGCAACTGTTTGGCTTCATCCACAGACGGGTCAATCCCAACTTTCTGGGACACTTAAAGCATCATACAGTAAGAGAGAAAGAAGTATATTCTTCAATTAAAAAAAATATTCTTCAATTCAATTCAAGAAGAGATTTAGTTATACTTCATGTGTGCAATAGACCATTATCCTAATGCCATGTCTTACTGTAGTCCATTGGGTCATTGAGGCATGGGCTCAATTTACCTCACAGCCATCTTGAATGTGTTTCCCCAAAACACACACCTTTGTCTATATTGCATGAAGTTCAGGCAAACTTATGCAAAAAATTATGCTTTTGCTTTTTCATCTGAAAAGCAGTATGCACGTACCCTTCTTGCTGACTGACAAAACATGGCTAACTTTGCATACCTTTTCTTCCTTCACCAACTAAGATTGAGGACATTTTGTGAATCCAGTTTCCAAACTGTCCAAAGATTATTATTACCAAATGCTTATTGCAGCAAGCTGAAAAAGTAGTTAGTGCAAGACCAGAGAGGAACTTTGGAGAAAAAAACATTAGATATTATATGATGAAAGGAACAAAGCTTTCATTATTTTTGACAAATTATATTCTTTGTGGAGCCTGGTATTTTCAAAACAGTGGTGGGCTTTTGAAAGGCACCATCAAGCAATAAGTCATGTCCTGCTAGACTGTGATTTTGTGCTGTGCTACTATTCACAACAGGGTTTTGTAGCCCCAGCTTGGCATCCTACAAGTGTGTGTCAGTCTGGTCTCCAGATGCTTGCAATCACTGAGCTTGATGCTGAGGATTCGTGGTGAGCTGGGTGGTGGCTGACTCCAGGAGCTGTGATCACCAGTCTCTGTGGGGAGTGATGCTGGAGCTCGTGGATGTGGGAATGGGGCTGGAGGCAGCAAGGACCCTGGTGCCAGTGCCCTGGGTTATAACTTGTCCCCAGGAGCAGACTGGGAAGCAGTGTGGGTCCCCAGGTGCTTTAGACAGTGTCCTTCACAGGAAGGTGTCATTCTTCATGTCAAGCTGATGGGGGACACTCGTGCTGTGTGTGACAGGTGGCAGTGAAATACAAAATAATGGAGCAAATTCCCCCTTATCTAAAACTGATTTCCTGGTCTGCGTTGCTTGCATAGCCAGGTGAGAGTTAACTTTTTCTCCCCCAAATGCTTATGTTAAAATATATTTTCCAAATATGTGTGTTTACATCACATCCAGACAAATCTAAGCTGATAGGCAAGAATTTCTAATACTCTAGCGTATTAATAATGCTTCTTGGCCCTATCTCTCTGAATTATGTTTCCTACTTTCTCTTAAGAATTCTTTGAACTTGAAAAAAAAAAAGATTTCTCATGTGATAACTGGACAGTAAAGATAAGTAAAGATAAAATATATTCCCACATTCCCTTATTGGACAGTGTAGAGAGATTTAGCCTGCAGAGACAAGATCAGTGCTGTCCAAGAGAAACAGCCGCTGAGATTGAGGCAGTCACAGTTAGGACACATGACCAAGGGGCTTGGAATAAAAGAAATATTTTAAAATACTAAGTATTCAGCAGGTTTTTGGCTGAGGAGTCTCCTTTCAGACCACTGAGTTGGTGGTCTTTCAGACACTGCTGAATTATTAGTTAACAGTGAAGGGAATATTCTAGGACCATCAAGGCATACTGCAACGTAGAGAGAGACAAAAAACATGCATTCAAGGAAAATGTTGAAATGTTGTCCATACTTTAGTTATTGCTACCAACAGTTTCAACATTTAGATTGTTAAAAATTCAGAGGCAGACAAAAAACTGATGGATTCTCTCGTCACCTTTAACAAAGGTTTAACACTATTATTTTTTTCCTCTACTCTAAAAAAAGAGTTGATTCAACTGAAGACATTACTTCTACCCACAAACCTGTTGTAGTTTTCTGGAGGATATGTGTTAGCCTGAACATACGTGTCTGGGTTCAGTGTAGGAGTAGCTGTCCATGATGTCATGGCCCTTGCTGCTCAGGAGGTAAGACAGGATGATCTAATGGTCCCTTCTGCACTCCAAATTTATGAATAGGAAGGGTAAATGAGTTTTGGTCAAGAGAAAAGCTTCCTCTGATTCAAAAGTCTTAAATTAAGCTTCCACTAAGGAAACAAACAAACAAACATGAAAAAAACCCTGGGGTTAGGTATCGCCAAATGGTTGATTTGTTTTGACAAATGCATTTCAGTGCTAATTATGGATCCTTCAAACAGTACTGACAAATGTCCCTGGGAATAATTTGTAAAAATTAGGATAGCTTATCATTACAGGAGTTTACTTTTCTTCCTACTGTTGTTAAATTTTGGCTTAGTAGCAAGGATGAGAAAGCCATCTTCTGTGTGGGCCAAAGTGAAATTGTATATCTTGGTTTTATGGTCTGAAGTCTACTGCAAACATCATTAAACTGAGGAATGGCACTGGAGTGACTGCAAAGGGCTGTCGTGGTTTGGGATCATTGTCTTCCTCGTCCAAGGAACATCAATGCTCTCCTCAAGTGCTATTTTTGTAACCACATTAGCCACAAAAATTAATTGCATCCTTCCATGGCCCAGCCTTGCTATTCTTCGGGGTATATTTTTTGATGTTAGGTCTTTGATTCTGGGTGATCCGGGTCAAAAAGGGGTTGCTTCTGCTGACTGTCATGGTTTCCAGATTCATTCAAGGCCAGGATATAAAGCAAAACCAAAGAGTTGCAACACCCAGTAACTGAAAACTCTGCTGAATGTGAGGGAGAGCAAGTGATAATTGTTAGCCCCTTGGGTGGTCAGCTTTCAATATCATAGCACATTAAAAATATATCAAATAGTAAAAGATGTTCTATATTCAGCCTGAGCCAGTGTTTCTAAATTGTGTTATAAACAGATACTATTCCTGGCTGATCAGATTAAATTGTTTGTGATGTGCTATTTTTTCCATATTCCATATTCTTACCATATTCTCTAGATCTTTTGTGTTAAATTAAGTGAGTAATAAGATTTCTGAACTGCAGCTACCTTTACAGTCAGCTTCTTTGTACTGCTTATACATCAATGTGAAAAATGGAACACAAGTCTGAACGGGCTTCTTGAAATATTTAACCTAACTTTAAAAAC